GCATTTTTCAGTTCTGCCCTCGGGGCCTTTGCAGAAATGCCCCTAGTACCGTACGTGTCACCGGTACTTATACCGGCTCCCCGTACGGTACGGGGCCCGGTCTCGTACCAGTTCCCTGCTGCTGTACTCGTACTCAGTGTGACTTGCTGTTTCGGCATTCKGAATCCAARACTTCGACTTTGTGCCTTGCCACTGTGTCTGCGTCCGATCCTCAGTCCGAGTCAGTCGTGTCGAGTGAGTGAGTGTGTGTGTGTGCTCTCCCTCTCTCCCTCTCTCTCCTCTCCCTCGGCTCACCCTCAGCCTCACGCTCGTTACAAGAGAGCTCAAATGCACCAAGATTCCGTGCAAATAAGAGCAATACAGTGAACTCGTAAGCCAATGTTCAAGCCCTCAGGCCACACCAACGCAGTGTTCAATGTTGCTCCTCTCGCCCAGCGCCCAGCCTACTCTACTTATCCTACCTAGCCTGGCTACGTTCATGCAACAGGCTCACTTCGACTTTGAAGACCAATGTACATGTCGTCAACACCAATGCCGACCTCCCACATACACGAGGTTTGTACTCTTGTCTCCCTCACCACCTCCTGTCCACCCATTTCTGCGCCTCCTCCTGAAGACCCCCGTCGCCCTCCTCTGCCTACGCGCCCTGCAGTCCGGCTATGGCCGCTAGCGCCCCACTGCCCTGCAGCGCCCTTCACCTCTCAGTGCCCACGCGCGCCCCAGCCACCAGATGCACATGCAGACGCTTGGGAGCCCAGCAGGGTGTCCGCATTGCCTGCCTAGGGCAGAATGTCCTTCCCTGGCTGGCTTGCTTCCTATATGGAAGTGACAGCTGCTGCTGGACTCCCTGGGCATGGCCGTGGAAGTTTCCAGTAGCTTCTGATCGGACCCCAGTGTCTGCGCCCAGGCCCATCTCGACAGTTGAGAGGGCCTGGGCCCTTCTCAGTTGGGCACGCCTAGCATTTTCCAGGCTCTGAATGTTTGATGCATTTGCACTGGCCCACCGGGTAGATACGACGACAGTGCTGCTTTCTCGTTGGCCCATGCCACTTTGTGATGTGTCGGCCTCATAATGTGTGTGCCCAGGGCACAACCACCAGGGCCCTGGGCTCAACTGCCTGGCGCAGTTGCTTCTTCTGGAAGAGCCCAGGGTAAGGCTCAGGTTGCACTTCAACCAGCTGTCGTGCAGCAACTGTCTGAGACCCGTATTGGAAAATGCTGAGATAAGGGCCTCTCCTGAATATTCAGGCCCGCCTTCACTTAGGGCGGGCACGAGGCTTGCTGGGGGGACACATTCCAGAACATATGCATGTTGCCTAGGGGCCTCTGAGGACACAGTCCTCACACGCAAGTGTGCCGCTTCGGTGGCAGATGGGTGTGTGAACACTTCCCGCTCAACCGTACAAACGAGGGGAAATATATTGCCCGCTTATACTTTTTTGTTTTATGGATGGTTTATGCTGATTTGTGGATGGAATGGGAGATGTAATTCGGGGGGTTTAACTCGCTGCTGGAACCGGTGAACATCTGTGGGGAACTGAAGGAGAAATGGGTTAAATGGGAGTATCTCCCGGACGCGCGCCTTACTAATTGGACTCAACGGAAGTGGAATGAACAATGCAACATCATGGCTGCCTTGCCAGACCAAAAGCAGGCGGGCCTGCTATGGCAGATTTACCATTTGGCAATCCCGACTGCGCAGTGGCAGGCTACCAAGAGTTATCATAAGGACCAAACTTGTGCTGCAGCTTGCGGCGAGGTGGAAACGATCCCCCACCTTTTTGTTTGATGTCCAAGGGTGCAGGAGTTTTGGTAGTGTTGGGCGCAGGAAATGGCAGACAAGACACCGCTACAGGTGGATGAAACGACCGACACAGATATCCTGCTGGGTACCCTGGGCAAGGCAAGTAGGCAGGGCATGGCTGAAATGGTGGTGGAAGAGATCATAAGGGCAGCAGTGTTATGGGCTTTGTGGACATTGAGAAATGAACGATGTAGGCAAGGAACGTCCCCGCCACTTCGGGGCTATCAGGAGAGGGCACTGGAGAATATTCTCATTGCTATACTGGCGGATCTGCACGGAAGTAGACGCGTAGGGGAGGCCAAGGCGGCAGGCTTTTGGCAGAAATGGGCCCCGTTCCCGCAAATGCTGGTGCAAGACTCTACTACAGGACAGTTGCAGTTTGGACCAGCCCTGCAACACTACATGCCCAGTTTGGAAAAGGAGGACACAAGCAGCAGTCAGTCGATAGAATAGATTGGGGATTGGGCAGATAGGTTGTAAGGGAATGGGAGGAATTGGGAGTAGAGAGAGGAGGGTAGACGGTGGGGGGTAGTGGGGGAATGGGAGGGCAAGTTAAAACTGAAAAATGAAAAAAGGGGGATGACAGAGGAAGGGACATGGGATATATTTGAGTGCTGAATATACTGTTGAATATACCGCTGGGGACAAGATTCAATTAGATTCAACCAGATTAGAATATGGATGGCTTACCTGGCTTCAGGCATTTACGAAGGTTTTTTGTATAACTAAGAACAAGGGGCCTATTTTGGCCATAGGCGCTCATCAAGGTCTCTCCATGATGAGACAAGGGAAACCTACTGCCCTCAGAATGGGTTGT